TGATCCCTGAGGGTTCAGGGTTCTGGAATGTAGGGCCCCCAATTTTCTTCAACCCTACAGCCCTTCACACCCCCTGGGCACAAGATATCCAGTGACCCTCCCACCTTCAGAAAGTTCAGGCAAGAAGCAGGTGTTAATCTCTACGTAAGGCACTCTCAAACTTTAGGGATGTGTGTTCAGAACCTTCTTCCCCTCCCCAAGAATGAGAGGGGAAGAGGACAGTACATATCCCCTGCAGGCTCTCAGAACCTTCTCCCTGCCTCTTGAGTCCCCCTCTTTTACTTTTCATCGTTACAGGCCAGTGGACTAGTTCAACCTCTCCCACCCGCCTCTGTTCTCTACCCTCATTTCCTGCCCCACCTCTGCACCTGAGAGACTCTCTTAAATTTTTTTCTTTCCATATTAACTGATATTAAATGATTTTTATTTTTTTTTTTTTACTTCTTGGAAGATTTTGTCCATAGGTACCTGTTTATTATTTTTTAATTGATACATTATATTGTACCTATTTATGGGGAACAGTGTGATCCTTTTTGCCTAGTCGTACATAGCTCTTTTATTTTCCTTTTGTATTCTTATTTTTAATTAACACATAATAATTGTATGTATTTATGGGTTATAGTGTGATACTTCAATACATGTATATAATGTGTAGTGTTCAAATGAGGGGAATTAGCATATCCATCACCTCAAACATTTATTATTTCTTTGTGTTGAAAACATTCAACCTCCACTGTTCTATTTGAAAATATTGAATAAATTATTTTTAGTTATAGTCACCCTCCAGTGCTATAGAGGCAGGTCTTACTTACGTTTGACCTCATAAATTTTTCTCAACAGGAGCCATCTCCCCAGTTATTTCTTCACTATTCAGTGAGACGGGGTGGGACAGAAAGCCAAGGCAGGAAAACTACCTAATCCATTACACATACAATAAATTTCCCTTTATTTTTAAAAAGCTTCTTTCAGTGAATGAGCCAAGCCTAGACCTCTGTCCTTCTCAGAACAAACAAGCATCTCAGTTGCTCTGGCCATAACGTCGATCCTCACCTTTTCTTCCCTCCACCTGAGACCAGGCCTTCCCTAGCAGGAAGGGGTCAGGTGAGCCAAGTACGTGAGCTGGAGTATGATGACCAGTGACTGGCCTCCAGTCTCTGGGCTGACGGTGACACAAGGGAGGCTGGCCCCATGTGGACTCCTCCCTCGTCCTCTCTCTGTCCCCAGCTGCCTATGACCTTCTCTCTACCCATGAGTCCCTGGCCCCATTCTCAAGAGAGGAGGCTAGCCTCCACTCCCTCTTATCACATTCCAGGTAGACTTGCATCAGAACCCCGGTTCCTGACTTTGGAAATGTTGCTAAGGCTGGCTCTAGATAAACTGCTGGCTCCTCGCAGTTCTTGCCCCTTTCTTAGCTCTTGCTCTTTGCTCATTTCCCCCAAATTAAGATGCATTTCTTTCTCATCCTCAGGCTGTGTTCTTTTTTTTTTCCCCTATAAGGCCAAGCAGAGTAGGAAAGACCGGCCTTATTTTTGTGGACCTGAAATAGAAAGCATCGATTTGGCACCTGCTCTGTGGCAAGCACTGTTCTAGGTGCTTTACATAAACATTTATATCATATCACATTGTATCACATACATACATTGCTTTGCATCACATTGTATTGCATTGCATTACATTTACATTACATTGCATGTGGAGAAAATATCTTTGGAAGAAAGGACAGAAATGATTGTAAGATTTCTTCCCCAATCTGCTCTGCACTCACAGGGTGACCGTGGTTAAGCTTTGTAACCTCTTGTTGTCTCAACTTTCCCTGCTACAAAATAGAAGGGGCCTCATACACTAGTTGTGTACACTGGTGAGGTGATTATACTTATTACAGTGCAATGTTGTATGACCTAAATTCTAATTTTCCATTACCAACTATCAATGCAATGTGGGGAGTCTGATTCTACACACACACACGATTTAGCTATGCCTCTCGGGGATTTTCTATCATATAGGGAACAAAGCTAAATTAAATAAATTAGAAATACACATAGCCCTTTGCTAAGTTCTTAAAATGTTTTCTTGTTGTTATTGTTTAGCAATCTAACTGTACTGCTACTACTACTGCTTTTTAAAAGCTTCTCGCTGTCTTTACAAAAGTAATTTGTGTTCATGGTAGGCTATTTAGAAAGAAAATGTAAGCAACAAAAAAAAAAAAAAGAAGAAGAAGAAGGAGGAGGAGGAGGAGGAGAAGAAGAAAGGAACTAAAAATCATCTACAAATCTTCCACCCAGAAATGCCCTCCCTAAGACTTTGGTATGTTCCCCTCCAGTACTTTTTTTATAGGCTCATAGATTTATGAGTCAGGCTAACTTGCTAAGATATTAGTTTGAGTTTTAATTAGCCCTGTCGTGAAAACACCTGGGCTTTCCCTTGCTTTTAGATGGGAGAAACAGAGCTGAGCTGCCCATGGGAAAGAGTGGAGAGGGTAGGGTGGGCCTAGGCGGGAGGAAGGTTACCCCAGATAGAGGATGGGGAGGGTACCTCATTCCTAAAGAGGGACGGGCACTCTGGCAGGTGGTGTGTGGATTCCACAGATACTGAACTCTCAGAGCCATGCAGGGGACATTGGTCCATTCCTCAGCCAGTCACTACAGGGAGTCAGGGTCAGGTGGGGGCGAGGCAACTTCTAAAGAAACCACAAGCCTAGAGCCGTAGGTGGAGGAGCAGGTCCCCAGAGGAAGGACAGCTCCCAGAGACACAGTCCCCATTCTTGTGGTCCAGGCAGCCACTCCCATTTGTAGCCACTGTTATAGAAAGCTTCCTTCTTGTTCAAAGGATGGAGTAAAAAGAGGATACAGAACAAGAAGGAGGAAAGGAGAGCCCTGCTTTTGCAGAAGAAAAACAAAGAGGCAGGGGAGGCTTAGAGGGGAGCCAAGGAGAGAGGACAAAACATTAGAGAAATGTGACCAAGAAAACACACTGAGTGTTCAGACCCCATCTCTACTGAGATGAGCCCAAGGAAAATGACAGGCAGTGAGTAGGAAGGGGATTGGTCATCCAGACCTGCACTCAATTTGGCCTTTCCGTGCCCCCTGGTTTTAATTTCACCATGAAGCTTGCAGGGGAGCCACCAAGGCCTGAGTTCAAATTCAGCTGTCCAACTAAGAAAACATTGCTTGATCTTGACTCTGTTTTCTCATGTGTACAATGAGTCTAACAGCATCTAGACTCCAAGTTGCTCTGAGAATGAAATGAGATACAATAGTGGGTTGACTAGCATTCCTCCCAAAATTCACGTCTACCTCAGACCTCGGAATGCAACGTTATTTGGAAATAGGGATTTTGCGGATGTAACGAGTTTAGATGAGGTCATACTGGATTAGGGTGGGCACTAATTCAAAGGCTGGTGTCCTTATGAGAAGAGGACCTACAGAGACACACACAGAGAAGAATGCCATGTGAAGATGGAAGCAGAGACTGGAGTGACGAGACACAGCTACAAGCCAGGGATTGCGGGAGCCGCTGGAAGAGGAAGCTAGGAAGAGGCAAGGAAGCCTTCTCGCCCTAGATCCTTCAGAGAGGGTGTGGTTCTACGACACCTTGATTTCAGACTCTCAGCTTGCAAAACTATGAGAGAATAAGTGTCTGGTGTTTTAAGCCACCCAGTTTGAGGTAATTTGTTACGAGAGCCCTAGGATGTTGAAAAAGATACCTATGCAAAGTTCCTGGCACATCGCCAGGACATGCTGATACTCTTTCCCTCCCTTTCCCCTACTCCTAAACGTGCATGCCCAGGGACGCTGCTCAAGGGCTACTGGACAAATGATGTTGAAAGTAAAACCAAAACTTCCCAATAGACTGTACTTCCGTCAGTTCTTCAGACCCAGTTCTGGTTTGAATTACTCTCGTGCCACAGCGAAGCTTGAGTTGCACGGTCGTGACCACATCTTTTCTTCTCTTCCTTAATATATCTTCACCCCCATTCCAACTGCTTTTTTGTTGTCCATCCTCAAATGTCCCAGCTAGAAAGACCCCTGGGTTGGAGATACTGCATGCTGATGATTTTGGTTTTGGTTTTGGCTGTTTGTTTTGTTGGCATCCAGAGGGGAATCTGACACAAACAGCAACAGTTTCTTGCTTTTTTATTTTTATTTTTATTTTTTTTTTTGCATCTTTGCCTGAGAAGCTGTGCCAAGTCCTCATGTAAGTATCGAGTGGGTTGAAATTGTCTCCTACTTTGTGAGTTTATAGTAAATCGTGACGAGGCTGCCACAGTGGGGGAAATGCATGCCTTCTCTCCACTTCATGTGAAACAGGAGAAATTCCGCCTCAAAAATTGTACTCAGGGGCATAAACAAGCTAATTTCTTCCTGTCCAAAATGGTAGGATTTCTCTCACTCGTTCCTGTGCTTACTATTCTTATTCGGCAATTTTAGGAAGTGAGATATTTTCTGTACCAAAAATGTGCACTATAGAAAAATGTTAATATGCTTGAGATTGCCTCTTAGAGTTTTTGGAGAGTTAATAGTGAAGAGCTTAAAACTCTGCTTTCCTACATCTGTTTGTGATTATGCCTTTGGCAGGCAGTCATCATTCCAGGCTGGCCTGTGTTTACAAGTTATGCTCTAAGAGTAAGCTGTTAGGGAACAAAATTATTACTTTATTAATTCATCGAGGGACCATTATTTAACAAAAGCATGATTTGGGGCCTACAAAAGGCTTATTTTTGCATATAAAATGATCATAGAAAAAGTAGCAAAATTAACACATTGACTGCCATGTGAGTTGTATTGAACTCAGGCTAGTTTAGACCCTGGGGCCTTGTGAAGCAAAACCCCACAGTTGGTTCGTGAAAATCTTGTTGATGTTCTTATTGTTACAATTAATATTGACAATTTAATTCTCAAAACATGGATTGGATTGCCTACAACTCACACACAGAAAACAATAAAAAATAACAAATTAGAAAGGATTGTTTTGTTTTAATAAAACACCATGGCCCCAGGGAAAAATTTTTTTTCTAGTGTGGCAGTCAATGTGTTAAAGAAAACTGCAACTATTGCTATCGATTGCTCACCACCTGGGCACAAAAAGAAGAGAGACGGCAATGGGTTCGTGCGGACAGGTAAAGCTTGAGTAAGATCACCTACTAATCAGGTCTTCTTCCAGCCCTGAAATTCTATGGTTCTGTAGGGAATGATAGACACAAACTGACAAATGCAAAGTAAAAATATTCAATGTGAGTAGTAATCATACAGTTGTAGCAAGAGTCCAATACTGATTGACATGGATGTCCTCCCAGCCCAAGATTCCATGAATGGAGGAGCAATATTGCTCTTTGCTGCTCTTGCATTGGAAACCTGGTCTATTTGTCTTCATTACCCCAGCTCTAACCATCAGCAGTCTCTTCCTAGTCTGCTGCTTCAACATGTCTTCTCAGATTCCTCCTGTGAGCCTTTCCATTGAACTGGAGCTCCTCGTAGGCAAGGACCACACCTTTTTAAGGTTTTCTGAGCCCCAAGTGTCTAGCACAGTGCCTGGCATTACACATAGGGTACTTGGTGAATTGGGTACTTGTTGAATGGTTGAATTCATTTATCTCATGAAATGTCAGGAGAATTGCCAGAAATGAAATGTTTGTGTAATATACAGTTGAGGTTGGTTTGAAGGGAGATGGTGGAAATGTCCTCAAAGACAGATCATGCTTCAGATTTTATTTGATTTACAATGCGCTGGACAGTGACCCATAGATTGTTATGTGCCATTTTTATTCCACATGCCAATGTCTGAACCTGCCGTGTGCCCACTTGTTGCATACTTGGGTTACCCTGTAGGGAGGCAACTGCAGTTTCATTTCCTCATGTTGCACCCCGCTCTACTGCAGCTGGACTCCCTTATCTTCCCATCAACTCACAGAAATCCAGGATAGATAAGGAATCTGAAAGGTCATCTAGCCCCCATCACCTCTGATGCCTTCTGGCTGTCTCTAACAACCCTAGGACAGATTCCCAGTTGTTATTCTTCACAGCTCTCTATTATTACCACCCCTGTTTTGGGGGATTTCCCCCCAGTGGCTGGGATACACTGCTCTGGGGGTTTCTCATACTCTTCTGGCCACCTCGTCTCTGTCTTCTCTGGTCCTTTGCTCCCCCTCTCCAAATTTTGGGGCATTCCTCAGTTCAGACATTTTCTTTTTAATCTCCCTCTTTATATTATCCTCCTCAGACAGTTCATTTTGTCCCCAGTATCAACTTATATTTCTATATTAGAAATAACTTCTTTATCTTTATTTCTAGCCCTAAATTGTATCCCAAACTCTGGACCTACAGTTTTCTTGAATGCTTTGCATTACCCAATGACTCATACTGAACTCATTGTCTATCTTCTAAAATTAGTTCCTGACCTATTATTTCCCCCACCCACCCCCCATGGCTCCAGTGTCATCTTCATAGTCTAGCCTTAAAACCACAGTCAACCATGTTGCTTCTCTTTTTTCTCCTGTATGGCTGATCAGTTGTCAATTGTTTGTCAATTGTCTTGTAGTAAGTTTCTTTTCCCTCTCCCTTGCTTCCTTTTTCTGACCCTAAGTCAGGGCCTTATTACCAAATATCTAGATAAATATAATGACCTTCTAATTGAATGGCTGGCTGTCAGTTCTACCCACCCCCAATTCTATACTGAAAAAAAAATCAGATTTAATCATTTTCAGACACTCCCCTGGTGTTGTCACTCCGTTTTTATATTTTTTTTTTTTTCTGGCCCCGTTTAAAGTTTGATGTCACTCCGTTTTTGAGACACTGTCACTGTCTCTCTGTGTGCTCTGCATGGCACTAAGCCCTTAACTTTCTTATCTCAACTTAAACTTCTAGTCAAGTTACCCTGCTCATTGTCCCCTCAGTAAGTCCGTGCATCTGCTCCTCTGAGCCCTTGCCTCTGAGTCATCTGCAGTGCCCTCTAGAATGACCTCAACTCCAAATCTTACCAGTGTTTCCAAGGTCCAGTTCAAATCCCACCCCTCTGGGAAGTCTCCCTTCCCAGGGTTTTTGCAATTTTATCATTCCTTTTACACCAATCCTTACCATTTTTCATGGGTGTGAGTTTTAACCTTCTAACTATCTTATAATGTTTTTAAGAGCAGGGCCCCTTTCTTAGATGAACCCTTCTATGAATTCTACACACTCATAGAAAGACTTGCAAAAAATGGGAACTCAGCATTTATTGACTAAAAAATTGAGATTCAACTTGAGCTTAAGAGCCCCATTAAAAATGAGTAGAATATCATCTTAAGACTACGGTAGTCTATCTATGCCACAGATGGTTTAGAGATCAAATGATGACTCATCCACCTACAAAAGCAGAGCACTGGCTCTAAGATCCCCTAAAAACCCATATGCCTGTAGGGACTGGTAAGTAACAAAACTGTGAATCCAGCTAGGTATAATTCATGGGGGAGTGGTAGGACCCGGGGCCATCTCTGCATCACTTGCACAAAAGCATCCAAATTCAAGTTATTTTAAAACATTGCTAATTACAATCTTAGACTCTTGGCTTCAAAAACAGTGGTTAATTCAGGTATTTCAATACAATTGGGTGTGTATTTATCTAGGTCTTCATGAATACCCAGGGCTCTGCTAGATACTTAAGGAGAGGGAGGAGCCAAAGGAAATGAGACTGACCATGTTAAGCAAAGACTCAAGTGTTACACAAACATGATCCTTTATGCTGGCTATTGTTGCACAAAGGAATTGTTTGCTGGGATTCTTGAGATATTTCCATAGAATGTCTATGTCTTAGTTATTCTACAGACCAGAGAATTCCTTGAAAGCACTGGCTGTATCTTATTTACCTCTGTATACTAGAGCATGGCTCATAGTAAATACCAAGTAAATGGTTTGAATAAAAGAAAAGGAAGGAAGGAAGAGGGAAGGAAAAAGGAAGGAAAGAAAGAGAAAGAAAGAAAGAAAGAAAGAAAGAAAGAAAGAAAGAAAGAAAGAAAGAGCAAGCTAAAGCTTCAGCACCATGAATTTCATTTCATCTATCAGTTTGCAAATAGATTTCAACAGACAGCAGAAATGGCAAAAAAAATTGGCCTATAATAACCAAGAAGTGAAACTACTAGCACTTACTATGATTTTTGATCCTCTTGCAAGGTTTACTTAGAAAAGATTTCCTCATTTTTTGCTTACAAACCTGTCCTCAGAATTTACAGAAGTTGTCTTGATTTCTCTGGAAAGATACAACCAATGCTATTGCATAAATGATATGAGTACTTCTTATGTATTATGTAGAATATACAGAATACATGGGGCATGGTGGCACATTTCTGTAGTCCCAGCTACTTGGAAGGCTGAGGTAGGAGTATTGCTTGAGGCCAGGAGTTGGAGGCTGCAGTGAGCTATGATCCATAGTGCCTGTGCATAGCCATTGCACTCCAACTGATGCGGAAAATGTCCAGCGCCAGGATGCCGCTTGCTGCCTCCCCGTCGCTTCTCTGCAGGCCAGCGCTGCACGTGGCCAGTTGGAGGGCACGCTGCTGGAGCCAGACCCCATGGCAGAGAGCCAGCCGGTGCCCTATGGGCCGGAATGCCCCCAGGCCCACGTGCGGCTGCCTGTTTCCGGCCACTCTGCTTGCAAGATCCTGATTGGGTAATTATTGAATCCCTTGTTTTTGATTGGATGTTAAAGCTTGTTGGTGATTGGATGTTAAAGCTTGATGTTGATTGGATGTTAAAGCTTGTAGTTGATTGGACGCTTTTTGAGCCCTACCAAGGATATAAAAGCAGGAGGAGACCGAGGAAGTGGGGGGGGCAGAAGGGTCAGAATATTAGAAGACAGAAGAGAGCTGTAACACCAGGTGTGCTGAGCCTGCTGTAGAAGAATAAAGGCTGTTCTCTGACTCTTCGTGTGCCGCTCGGTTATTTCCCTGGTCAAATGAATAAGAGCTGTAACAAGAGCTATAACGCTAGCTGTACACACTGCTGCAACACAACCTGGGCAAAAAGCAAGACCCTGTCCTGGGGAGATAGCGAGGGTGGGGAAAAAGACTAAGAGCTAAAATTGGACAAGGGAAAAAGTTGAGTATCAACATAAACTGTTAAATACAAGGCAGACAAAAAATTATCCTGAGAGGTACAACTGTTCCACAAACATTTGCTTGGGAGACTCAGGGAAGGACTTATGAAAAAGGTAGCCCCGAGTGAGTTTTAAAGACTGGGTAGACTTTTTCCAAGTGAGAGCTTAGTGGAGTTAGTGAAAGGAGTGGTCATATAGGAATTCTTGGGATTTTTAGACCAAAGATCACCACTCACCCTTGTAAGTGATAATGACAATGAATCTGAAGAATGCTTTACCATTGACAAAGTATTTTTTCACATACCTTGTCCAAGGACCCACAAGCATTTCTGTTCACTACTTGTGGTTGGGTCGAGAGAACTCAATGTTGGAGAACTTGATGATTTCTAGTTTTCTACCCCCTCCCAATATAATTTAAATGAAAATGGACAGCCACTTAGGAATAGACAATAAGATATTAATTAAATTTTAAAAGGGGATACTAAAGAGGTGGCATGGTTGTTTAAAGATGTTCATTTTGTCTTGGGGGGAGAAAAGTCATCCAATGCTCATTCATCAGTGTAAAGGAGTTCCTTCTACGTGGAGGTTCTGTAGATGAAGGGATGAATTAATTTTGGCCATGCATTTCCTAAGTTCTCTGAAGAAACTCTTTTGGGTTGAGCCTTGCCTGCCTAAGGATAAAGGAGTGCATACATCCCTAACTTTAAAGCCTTTAAGAACCTACTCTTTCAGAAAACATGGTTCGCCTAAGGAACCCAGACGACAGGGGTCTTATAGAGATTGACCAGTGTTTTGAGAGAAATTGGTGAGGGGCCTGAGATACCTGTGAAAACATTCTTCTGAAAACATTCAACCTAATAAACAATCTTACGTTGAAAAGGGATCGCCTTCCACCTCTTATGGAAACCCTTGCTTCGACATGGACCCCTTGACAATACTAGGGCTAATGACCTCCCCGTCCCATTAGCACTCCATTCCACCGTGAGTGGCTCTAATTGAGGGGGAGATCTTTCTTAGGCTGCATCAAAAGAAACAAATTAAGATTTCTGTTGGAGGAAGGAGCCAACTGGGAGCCTCAGATTCCTGAGTGTGATGCTAAATTGCCATGCATGCACCTACTCATTCCTTCGTTCATTCAGCAAACATTATGAGAACCCAGTGAAGCACAAAGAGCTCTTGTTCTAGCAGGGAAGACAGAAGTGTAACAACTTAACATACCAGAAATGAGTTAAGTGCTCACACTAGAGGGTAAGTTGTGGATACAATTGAGGCAGAAGGGACAACAGCCTAAGGCAGTTAGGCAAGGCTTGTGTTGAATGTAGAAGACTGTAAGGCCACTTAGGAGATGCAATACAACTTTTTGAAGCTCATGAAGGAATTGAGGCAGAGGAAAAATAAGATTAGAAGAAATAAAATGCGATTAGAATTCTCAAAGCAGCTGCAAGGTCCTCTTTATAGAATGCACATGTATTTCAATGTGGCCGAGGCAGGAGGGGCCAGATCAGGGAACGTTTTGCCGGCCACATTAAGGAGAACTTTACTTTGTACATAATGGGAGCTAGTGAAGTCTTTTAAATGAGCGACATGGCCAAATTTGGTTATTTGGGAGGTCATTCTGCCTGCTATGTAAAGGGGTAATTCATTCAACAGATATTAACTGTATGTGTATTTACTGTTACAGGGCTAAAGGCATAGCAGTAAACAACACCCTCACCCTCTTAGTATTTATATTTTTATGGAAGATGATAGGGAATAATAAAATAAAGTTAAGGATTGTTGGGAATGCTGGGGGTGGGGTGGGGCTGCTCTTGCAATTTTAGATGAGGCCGTCTCAGCAGAAACAGCCATGAAAGTATCTGGGCGTAGGGATGTGCACACTGGCAGCAAGGTCCTCCCTGGAGAGTTGGATCTGGGGAAGAAGCCACACAGACCTAAGCAGGTTTAGGGCCATTCAGGCAGGGAATTCCAGTGTCCCAAGGACCCAGATTGTGATGGGTGGGGGTAAGAAGGTCAAAGGCTCTAGAAGACACCTCTCAGCCCTGAAAACACCTGACCCTGTTGGGAGGAGCACAGCCACGGCGGGGTCCTCTAAAGCATGGGGCCAAGACAGAGGCGCCTCTGGCCTGGACTATCAGAAGGACTGGATTTTACCCGGTGTAACGTGTTGAGCCATAGGAAGGTTTTGAGAAGACATATTTGACTTAGGTTTTTAAAGAATCGCCCTGGCTGCTGTGTTGAGAATCAACTGTAGGAAGGGCAAGATCAGAATCACAGAGTCCATTTATCTGGCTATTTGCAGGAATCACAGGAGAGATGATAATGGCTCTGGCTGATATGGAAGCAGGGGAGGTGGATGGAAATGGTCAGATTCTGGATGTGTTTAAAGGAAGGGACTGTAGGATTTGTTGATGAGTCTGGTGCTAGGTGAGAGAAGAAAGGAGTTAGGATGGTTCCATAGCTCCTGTCCTCCAGCTCGACAAATGGAGGGTGGAGCAGAGGGAAGCAAGAGGAGAAGGTAAAAAAATAGCAGTGAGAGAGCCAGGCGCGGTGGCTCACGCCTGTAATCCTAGCACTCTGGGAGGCCGAGGCGGGCGGATTGCTCCAGGTCAGAGGTTCGAAACCACTCTGAGCAAGAGTGAGACCCCGTCTCTACTATAAATAGAAAGAAATTAATTGGCCAACTAATATATATAGAAAAAAATTAGCCAGGCATGGTGGTGCATGCCTGTAGTCCCAGCTACTCAGGAGGCTGAGGCAGGAGGATCGCTTGAGCCCAGGAGTTTGAGGTTGCTGTGAGCTAGGCTGACGCCATGGCACTCACTCTAGCCTGGGCAACAAAGTGAGACTCTGTCTCAAAAAAAAAAAAATAGCAGTGAGGAGGCTTTGCTGTGGTATAAGGAGAAATGACAAGAAGCTGAGGTAAGCAGCAGAGTGTAAGAAAGGAGAGGTATCATCCACAAAGTAGGGGGCAGAATGAACAAGACTAGGGGACAGACTGATGAGATGAGACATGTGTAGGTGTAAGATGACCCTCAAAGTTGTGACTTGAGGTGGGTGTTATTAGCATCATAGGAAAATAAGGCAAAAAGAGTTCTCATAAATTGTCCAAGGTGTTGGAGACTAATAATTTGTAGAACCAGGATTTGAACCCAGCTGTGTCTGATTTCAGAGCCTGAGCTCTTAACCATTGCATGGACCATATTTTCCCTGGAAGAAAGATGATTAGGAAAGGAGGCTGGTGGTTGGAAAGTACCTTTATCACAGCGTCTGTCCCTCAGTTTGCTCAGGAGGCAGTGTGCTAGGAAAGTCCCCTGGGAAGGGTAAGGAAAAAGGGGAAGTTAAAGCCAGTTGTGGGTGATCCAGGAGTCTTTTCTGTCTTTTCATGCCATCCTTTCATGTTCTAAAAATAAGAAAGCTGGCAAGTGTTGGGGCAGCTTAAAATGACACTATTCTCTCACATTCTAAAAATAAGAATGCTGGCAAGGTCTATTGGCGCAGCTTAAGAAGATGATACCTTTTCTAGATAAGTTTGCATTTTGATGAGGAAGAATATCTTCAGGTCCAGCTAAGGTGTGCCATGACATTTCCCTGTGGGAAGCACTTGATTCTGTTCCCAGCTGTCACCTGCTGTAAGAGCTCTGCCCCTCAAATAAAAACAGTAATACACCTCATGGATGAACTCATGTTTCCCTCTAGCTATTGCCTATTTCCCTTCTCCCTTTCACAGCACTTTTCTCTAAAGAGTTGCCTATAATAGTCTCCACATCTTTTTTTTTTTTTTTTTTTGAGATGGAGTCTCTCGCTTTGTTGCTCAGACTAGAGTGAGTGCCATGGCAGCAGCCTAGCTCACAGCAACCTCACACTCCTGGGCTCAAGCGATCCTTCTGCGTCATTGAGTAGCTGGGACTACAGGCATGCGCCACCATGCCCGGCTAATTTTTTCTATGTATATATATTAGTTGGCCAATTAATTTCTTTCTGTTTATAGTAGAGATAGGGTCTCGCTCTTGCTCAGGCTGGTTTCAAACTCCTGACCTCGAGCAATCCGCACACCTCGGCCTCCCAGAGTGCTAGGTGAGCCACCGCGCCCGGCCTAGTCTCCACATCTTTACCTCCCATTCTCTCTTGAACCCATTCAGGCTTTCATTGGTACCACATTCAGTGATCTTGTGTTTGTCAGGATCATCCATGACCTCCTTACCGCTAAATCCAACCCTTAGGAGCTTTTAGCTCTACTGATTACTCCTTCTTTGTAGCACTGAGTTTTAAAATATAGATTTTGTTATTATTTAGGTATGGTCAGGCCAACAGATCAGGAGATGATTGCCATTGAAGAGAGAGTATGTTATACTCACAGATCCCCAAAGAAGAGGGCCCACCCTGCCACAGGGGGCCACACCAGCAAGCATTGTAGTCAGCCAGGTAGGGGGGGAGGGGAGACTGGGCAAGAGCCTTTATTGTGGTCTCCACAGGAAGGAATGAGGGAGGCAGGGTAAACAGATTTAGGATTAGCTAATATGAAGAATTTCAGCAGACTCTGGGGCATAGGGGCTGTCCCCAGCTTTCTGGTACCTGGCCCTGCAGTGATTAGGGCAAGTGGATAGTGGCTGGGAATGTGAAAGCTCCCAGTGAAGGAGGTAGGTGGGGCTGTGGGCTCTGTTTACTTGCATTTGAAAGGTGTGCTAGTGGGCAAGCTGTTTACCATCTCTTGGAGCTGGCTAACTCCTGGGAGTGGCAGTCCCTTCAGCATCAGCAAGTCCCAGAATGTCAAAGCATCAGAATACAGAAAATAAAATACATGGTTACTACACACTCTTATTTGCCATTTTACCCTTCCTCTCAATCTTTTTTGCTGGTGTCCTCTCCTCACAAAGATCTATAGATGTTGGAATGCCCCAAAGGCAGTCTAAGTTCTTGGCCACTTTCTCTTCCTCCTGTCTCTCTGTAGGTAATCTCATGCAGCCCATGGCTTTAAATAACACTTGTACATTGATGATGACACCTAAATTTATATCTCTACTCCGAACTCTGAACCATCTGTTACCCAACTGCCTGCTAAACACCTCCACTGAGATATCTAATAGGCATCTCAAACCAAACCTACACCAAACACAATTCTTGGTTTCCCTTCCTTCATCTGCTTCTCCCGTAGTCTTCTCCATTTTAATAACATAGCACCTCCATTGCCCTACTGATGCAAGCCCCAAACCTAGGAATTTTCCTGGATTTCTCTGTTTTTCTCAGACTCTATATCCAACCTGTCAGCAATTCTCTTCAAGTCATCTTTTAAAATACAGAAGACCTAAATGAAAGCTTGACTACTTTGTCTGCTCAGTCAACTAGTAAGTATTTATTGATAATGTACTTCTCTTCTATTGAGCCCTGTGTTTGAGTGTCTGATTCCCAGACTTCCAATCCAGGTAAAGAAAATGTTGTGCATTATTCATTTGACAAACAAAATGGGGTGGGGGGGCGGTCAAGGGCCTGCTGCTGAGAAAACTATGGAAGGTTTCACAAGAGAGACAAAGAGTGCAGATAACATCAGTGTGTGTGAAGCACGAGGACTGGTTCATTTTCTAAAAAGGCCATTAGGAAAGGAAGAAGAGCTCTTCATTTGGATTGATAAAATTGATAGAGTGCCTCACTTCCTCTTCTCCCTGCTATCAGCCTATATCTTCTCTTCCCAGCTCCACTCCACGCAAAAGATTTGTTATTTCTCTGTTTTCCAGAGTGAGTAAGCAACAAAGTAATGAGACCCTAGCCAAGTTGCATAAGTCCCTGAGATTTTCAATTATCTATTTCAGATCAAGTACAGAACATGTTTTTCCTCCTGCTGATGTTGAGCCTGGGATTGCAGCTTCATCGGACAGCAGGTAAGAAAGGACAAAGAGAAGCCTGAGAAAGTGGAGCAAGTAGTGGCCATTAGCCAAAGCCAATAATGAGAATGTGGGCCTCAGGATGAGGCTTTGAGAATGTGGTCCCTAGGCTTTCTTTGAAAGGAAGTGTGATTTCTGGCTGTTACAAGCACCACAAAAAGAATGGTGCCCAGGTTGGCTTGTACATGCCAATGTCTCTGTCTTACAGAAACAGGGCATAAGAATATCAATATGTCTATCCCCACTATCCAATGAGGGCAATGACAGGAAACAGGACCACTCGGACCATGTACATCTGAACTGATACAAGAGAGCAGGGGTTGAGTTTCCTCAAAAGTTATATGCTAAGCAGCTTTCCCCTTCCCTTCTAGCAGGAGGAGTAAGGAAACATTGGCAGGGGACTCTGTTACTCTAAAGATAATGTCTTGCAAACATTCTGCCTGTTGTTAGACGTTCATGTGAGTTCCTCTTCTGAAAAGCAACAGTCATTGATCATTCATACCTCAATGTGGATTACTTGAATGGAAAACTCAGAGTCTTCCTAAAGTCCAAATGAACAATGAACCTTAATACTATGGCTCTGGACTTAAAGGAAAGACTTCTATTGGAGGTTGTGAGTGAGTAGGAAGGAAAGCACTTTCAGAGTTGGTTGTTCTCCTGGGGAAGGTAGTTCAGACCATTGGAGACTGCAATCGGGACCATGAGTGCATTATTTTGCATGAACACCAGGAGGTAAGAGAGTAAGACAGGGGTAGGGACAGGGGATTAGGTCCTAATGATAGCAGTCCAAACTTTGAAGGAATCATCTAATATTTTGCCCTTGATTGAGAAATAATGGCTCCTTTGGCACTTGATGACCTTTTGAAAAACTTTTTACTCCCTTCTAGCTGGTCCAAGACTGATCTTTTCCCAGTCACATTCCTCTCCCTCCCTTGGGCTGCCCAGCCCGGTCTAGCACTAGAAATATACAGTAAAATTTATTCTTTTTTGTAAAAATGTCTATCAGTTTTGATAAATGCATAGTCATAGAACCACTACCACAATGAAGATCCAGAACACCTGTATCGCTTGCCAAACAAACAAAAACCATCTCCCAACTCTTAAGCCTAAGCACCTACTGATCTATTTTCTGTTCTTCTACTTTTAACTTTTCCAGAATGTATAGAAATGAGATCAGTCATTAGATACTCTTTATGGTCTGGCTTCTTTCATTAAGCATAATGCATTTGAGATTCATCCATATTGTTATATGTTATCAATAGTTCATTTATTTTTGTTGTTGAGTATATTCCATTGTATATATACTACATTTTGTTTATCCATTCCCCAGTTAGAGGACATCTGGAGTTTTCCCATTTTTGTTGACTACAAATAAAGTTGCTATAAACATTTGCATGTGGGTTTTTTTTGTGTTTACATAGATTTTAATTTCATTTATGGGTAAATACCTAGGTGTAGGATTGCTAGATCATATGGTTAAGTATATGGTTTAACTTTATAAGAAACTGTCAAATCTTTCCATAGTGGCTGTACCATTTTTGCATTCCCACCAGCAGTGTATAGAGTTCCAATTGTTCCTCATCTTCTCTAGCACTTGATGTTCTTTTCTGTTTTTAAGTCATTCTAATAGGTATGTAGGATTATCTCATTGTGGTTTTAATTTGCATTTTCCTAATGGCTAATGATATTAAGTATATTTTTATGTACTTATTGGTCACCTGTATATCTTCTTTGGTGGAGTGTGTATTCGAATCATTTCATCATTTTTGATTGGGGTGTTTATTTTCTCACTGTGAAGTTTTGAGAGTTCTTTATTCCAGATATAAGTCCTTTATCAGATATGTGATTTGCAAATATTTTCCCTGAGTCTGTGGCTTGTCTTTTCCTTCTCTTAACTATGTCTTTCGCAGAGCAAATATTTTCATTTTGATGAAGTCCACTTTATCAATTTTTTCTTTTATGGGCCATGCTTATAGTGTCATATCTAAGAACTCTTTGCCTAACCCAAGATCTAAAAGATTTTCTTCTGTGTTTTATTCCACACATTTTATAGTTGTATATTTTATATTTCAGTTATGATCCATTTTGAACTAATTTTTATATAAGGTGTGAGGTATAGGTTGAGGCTCATTTTATTTTTGCATATGGATGTTCACTTGCTCCACCCCCATTTGTTGATAAAAGTGTCCTTTCTCCATTGGATAGCCTTTGAATTGAATCTTTGTCAAAACTCAAGAAGTCATCTTTATGTGGGTCTACTCTGTTCCATTAATCTACGTATATATCGTTTTGCCAATATCATACTTTCTTTATTAGTACAGCTTTATTGTTTATTTTTTCTTATATTTTTATTTCCAAGCCTAAGGACATCTTGTAACCCAGAAATATATTTTATACCTTGTCATGTGTGGGAGGAAAGAGCAAGTCCAACCTTCCCTTTTCTCAGTCATGTTTCTCACTCTCCTCCTGCTCTAGAGGTGGATGAAAACCAGAGGACACATGACCATGGTGATGCTTGAGGTCATTCTGGGGCAGAGCCAACAGCCATAGTCACTGTACTCAACCCATCCTCAACTCCAAAATGACTTGTGCCAAGTTATACAAAGGAGAAGAATCAGGTTGGGGAAAGGATTTCTAAGCTGAGACATGTCTCCATGCAGTGCTCCTGCATTGAGAGACCATGAGTCAGGTGCACAGAGCAGGATTTTGTCCTAAACCAGGAACTTCAGAATGTTTTGAAGATTGTGGCTGTGTAAAGCAGCCCCCACCCTGTGCTCACCTCTCCAGTACATTGTGTAGGAGTCTGAACAAACATAAGCTTCTGTTGTGAAATGGGAGGAAATGGGCTTTAAGAAGAAGCTATGTTGGGAGGCAATGCAAATGATTTGTTTTGTGTTTCCTGGAGATGTCACAGGTGCAGATTCACATTGATGTCAGGTCGCAAATAAAATGCAAAGTTCCACTGAGAATGTTCTAAAAGGTTCAGCATTATTCAAGTTAGCTGCTTTAATCTGCCTAAAGGTCCTGCATGTACACGTTTTTTATGTTTTTGTCAAGTCCTTTGCCCTTTAGTTTTAGTTAAGGGCCCCAAATGAATGGAAAAAATCTGTCTTGTCTGCATAATTTTGTAGTTTGGAAACTTTCCAATTTTCTCCTTTGTCTGATAACTTCAGGTGTTCAAAGCTAGGTTGAAGGTTAATAATCATGTGGCACATGAAATAGAAAACAAATGTCTTTTCCTTAGCATTAAGCTACAAAAAGAAGTGTATCTCGTTAATGGATGTAGTGTACACATGCCAGTTGATAAATAGTCATATGTGCAGAGTTATTAGGAGCACAAAGATGAAGGTGCATTGGGCCCAGAGAGATGAAATTGAATTCTAATTCCATGAGCTGCTACTCTTTGACCTTGGTCAAGTTGCGTTCCTTCTTTAAGCCTCAGTTTCCCCATCTGTAAAATGTAGATAGTAACTCCTACCTTGCAGAGTTGTTGGGAGCATTAAATGAGATGATAATATAAGGGTTATCCTAGTGTCTGACTTATTGCAAGTGTTCAAGAAATGTTACCTATTACTCTACTTTCCAATAATAGTCCAAATGCAGGCTGCCGTTATAAATCTGCTTCTCAAACACCAATGTGCATGCAAATCACTCTGACCTTGTTAAAATGCAGATCTGATTCTCTAGGTCTGGCACAGGCCTAAGACTCTGCATTTCTACCTACCCCCCAGGTGAAGCTGAGGACACCACTTTGGGAATATGGTAAAAGATATTTGCAGGTGTAGATGTTTATTTGTCTAATTAATGGTTCTCAATACGGTCTGCACATTAGAAGCTCCCAGGAAAAATTGTTTTTTAATTGTTTCTGACCTCACCCCCAAAATAATTTAATTTTACCAGATCCAAAGTGGGGGCTGGGCATTAGTATTTTTGCTTCCCAGGTGATTCCAATGTCAACCAAGATTGAGGCCCTCTGTTTAGTGAATTCACACAGAATTGTCTGAAAGAGCGTTTTGATTTCCTCTGTAATTTATAACAACTAAGAATGTTTTAGGATTTCAAAAGTGTTTTGCATTCCCTAAACCCCTCGATTTATATGGGGTAATCAAGCTCAAAGCTTTGCATGTCTTAGAAGCTTTCACTGGGGCAAAATTAGACCAAACAACAGTGAATCTTCTAGCTATTCCAAGCTACTCAGATATCTGACTCATGTTTGCTGACTGCTCTTTTCTCTTATAAATATTAGCCAGAAAATGTCACCTGTCTAGAGGTAGCATGCTTTATGCCTACCACCCCTAGAACCTGCTCTGAACAAGGCAAAGAGGAAAAACAGGCAGAAAATGGACTTTTATCAAAGGCCCAGGCAGCAAAGAGGGGAGTTCTGCTGTATGCTAAGGGGAGTTCCAGAGGAAGTTACAGGCCTTCCCTCTTTCATGAGAAAAAAGCATGTTGTGGTAAATAAATTTGCTAAAGAGAGTCAATAGCGTCTCTACCCAAAGTCTTCTATTTAATTATTGTTTTCACTCAGACTCAGCAGCTAACCTTCCTTGCAAACCCCGTTTCCTTCCCTGTTTGCTGTTTTATTGTGTGTAATAAAAGAAGTATTATGAGAAAAGTATGAATAGTAGTAAATTATTTCTTTTTTCCCCACAAGTTTTCTCAGTGTGAAAGTAGTAAGTTCTTGAACTTAGCACAGAGAAGATGGTTAATGCATTTTTGATGAATGAATGAATAAATTTTCTTCCAGGGAAGGGTGGATTTGGTATAAGGTGGCTCTTTCTTAGACAATAACAGACTTAATAACTCAAGTATTTAGAGATGATTTTCATCATAAAGGGATCTACCCTTAAGAAGGTCTGGTTATAGAGACCCTGAGCTGTGAGTTATCATAAGTGTACAGCAGGTTCTGAAAGATGGAATCATATAGAAAATCCAGGCCGGGAATCATATAGAAAATCCAGGTGGCTCAAGCTTGTAATTCTAGCACTCTGGGAGGCTGAGGCGGGCAGATTGCTCGAGGTCAGGAGTTCTAAACCAGCCTGAGCAAGAGTGAGACTCCCATCTCTACCATAAATAGAAAAAAATTAATTGGGCAACTAATATATATAGAAAAAAAATTAGCCAGGCATTGTGGCTCATGCCTGTAGTTCCAGCTACTCGGGAGGCTGAGGCAGCAGGATTGCTTGAGCCCAGGAGTTTGAGGTTGCTGTGAGCTAGGCTGACACCACGGCACTCACTCTAGCCTGGGCAACAAAGTGAGACTCTGTCTCAAAAAAAAAAAAAAAGAAAAGAAAATCCAGTTTCACAAGTATTATCTCAGGGTCTTCTTAACCTGGCCCAGCAAGCGCAGGTGTGACTAGCATTGTCTATGCAGAAGTACTCGTTATATCCCTGCTCCTGCTCTTCTCCTGCACAAAAGAATGCTGGGCTTATGTGAACTCCTCTCTGTACCATAGATCTCGGTAGAAAGGCACATAAATGTTCTACCAGTGGTTAAAAGAGGGGTGGAGACCAGATATAAATCTGCCAGTCATTTCTGATAAAAACTCAAGTGTGTGCATGTCACTCTCAAGTGTGTCACTTGGAAATTATTGATAAAAAAGCCAAATTGTGTGATCTCAGGCAAGCCACAGCTTGATGAAAGGAAAACAGAAGTCAGTATGATCAGGCTCACCCTTTCTTTCTCCCTCTCTCTTCCCGTCATTTATTTGCCAAACTCTTAACTGGAACTTAGTATGTGCTAGGTACCAGCGATCTCAAAGCACACTCAAGCTGGTCATTGACTTCAAAGACTTGCAGGTTAGTGGGAAGAAAAACTTGAATCAGAAGAGAATTGCAACATGAACCATTCAAGCAGCAGAAAAAAGTTACTCACATTGTGAAATCTGGTCAGGGAATGGACTGTCCTTGCTGGCTAATAAAGTATGGGCACACATTCCACATATGAATTACCACTTTCCCAAGCATTAAAACACGGTACAAAAGAAAGGAACTAACATTTGCTGAGTGCCCTCTACCTGCAAACCTCAGCGCTTCACGTCTACCACCTCATTCAGTTTTCACCGCAATGCTGAGAGATAGCTACCAGCCTTGTTTTACAGACAAAGAGGCTGAGACTCACAGAGGTTAAATGACACAGTCAAAGGACTCCTAATCTTAATACAGTCAGGATTGGAACCCAGGCTCCTCTGTCACTAAATCCTGTGCTTTTCCAATACCACGTTTTTTTGTTGTTGTTGTTTTTTATTTTAGCGTATTATGTGGGCACAAGTGTTAAGGTTACATATATTTCCCATGCCCCCCTCGAGTAAGAGCTTCAAGCATGTCCATGCCCCAACATTGCACATCTTACTCATTGTGGTTGTGTATACCCATCCCTTCCTCCTCCCTCCCACCCTCCCAACACCCGATAAATGTTACTCCTATATGTCCACTTAGGTGTTGATCCGTTAATACCAATTTGCTGGTGAGTACATGTGGTGCTGGTTTTTCCATTCTTGAGATACTTCACTTAGTAGAATGGGTTCCAGCTCTATCCAGGAATATACAAGAGGTGCTATGTCACCATTGTTTCTTAAAACTGAGTAGTACTCCATGGTATACATATACCACATTTTATTAATCCACTCATGAATTGATGGGCACTTGGGTTGTTTCCACAGCTTTGCAATTGTGAAATGTGCTGCTATAAACATTTGAGTGCAGGTATCCTTTTCATAAAGTGACTTTTGATCTTTAGGGTAGATGCCCAGTAATGGGATTGCTGGATCAAATGGTAGATCTACTCGTATCGCTTTGAGGTATCTCCATATTGCTTTCCACAGAGGTTGAACTAGTTTGCAATCCCACCAGCAGTGTAGGAGTGTTCCTATCTCCCGGCATCCACACCAGTATTTGTTGTTTGGGGGCTTTTTGATAAAGGCCATTCTCACTAGCGTTAAGGGATATCACATTGTAGTTTTGGTTTGCATTTCCCTGATGATTAGAGATGTTGAGCATTTTTTCATATGTTTGTTGGCCATTATTCTGTCTTCTTTTGAGAAGTTTCTGTTCATGTCCTTTGCCCATTTTTTGATAGGGTTGTTTGATTTTTTCTTGCTGATTTTCCTGAGTTCTAAGTAGATTTTAGTTATCAGCCCTTTATCAGATGTGCCAATACCACGTTTTATACTGAAACAACCTCTTGAATAACCTGGCTTAGAGGAAGCCCCTGAATTATTTGTTGAAGGGATGATTTGATTGAATAAATTAATGAACAAATGAAGCAAGCTCTGCTGAACATAATTTAATCTAATCTTCTGTGATGATTTGGAAACCACTTCAAGATCTTCCTATGCCTCTGTTATAATGAATACCTATTCATTAGTGATGGAAATAACATAATTTTGTACAGTTTCTCATATTTTATTCATGCAAACACCACCTTTGCTACTTTTGCCATGTTTGGCCATTCCTTATGCTATTATTTTTTGATAGAATAATAAAATTGATTTAAATCAACCCGGGTTTTAATCTTTTTCAACAAAGCATATGGATAGCCTTGTGGTAGATGGAAAATCGGTATCACTCATCCTGGTAAATAGAGGATAGGAACCAAAATAAATGCAAAGAAAATAAAGCAGTATTATCAAATTATTATTAGGTATTATTATATGTCTAGAAGCTTCCTGTTTATTAAAAGGAAAAATAGCCAGTGTTAGAGGTGTGGGAGTCTAGTTGCAAATTATATGTAATTGAGGGATTAAAGTAGAATTAAAAAGGGAATAAATTCTTCTCTGAATAAATCCAACTTCCTTTAGGCCTTGATTCTTCCCCATTTAAAATCATCTTACATACTTCTAGTGGTGTGTGCCTCACAGTTTGGGAAATACTGCTTGAGTGCAAATGACAGATTTTGAAGTCAAACATCTGACCGGCTCTGAATTTTACTAATTGTATGTCCTGAAGTGAACTTCTTTGAGCCAGTTCCCTCAACTATAAAACCATACTGACAATGCATATCTCATGGTCATATTTTCAGTATTGACTGAGTGGCTAGCACAGTGCCTGGCATGGCACATAGTAGGTATACATTAAAGATCAGTTCCATTTTTCCTTTCCCTTTGACATGTGCAAGGGGCTTGTATGATGTGATGGTTAGCAGCATTTGACACTTTAAAAAACCTGGTCTGCTCCTGGCTGTGCAATCTTGGGTACGTTGCTTAACCTCTCTGTGCCTCAGTTTCGTTTTTTAAAAAAAGAGGATAGCAGTATTGCCTACCTCACTGGCTTCCTGGGAAGACTAAAGGAGATAACCTATTAGCACAGTGTCTAACACAGTGTCTAACTCAACAAATAATAGTTGTTATTATTGCTGTCACTGGTGAGAGAAAGTGACATCTGGCCAGGAAAGATATAAACTGGTGCATATGGACTGAGGAAATGAACCCACATAATAGGATCTGAAGGCAATGAAGGAAAGGGGGCTCAGATCTTGATGGCAGGGGAGTCATAGGAGACATTTTGTCGTCACCGAGGGATGATCTGGAGTGACTGCAGGGCTGTCGGGGAGGAGATGGGAGAGGTTCCCGAGAGCAAGTAGTGCTGTGGACCGGAAGCTCTTGCTGGGTGCAAAGGGAGGCGCAGGAGGGCAGTCAGCCACACAGGTGGGATTGTTTAGAGGCGAGAACGATCTCAGAGTGGCAGGTCAAGAATTCACCCCTGTCCAGGCAGATGGGGTAAAGGAGAGGAAGGATCCCAAGGGAATGCCCAGATACTAAGAGGCATCTCCTGGAAATCAGGGGTGGGATAGGTCTCAGCTCCCAATGTGCAAGAACTGGAATGTAAAGTAAAGGCAGACCATGGCAACATGTCTTATTTTCTTTTCAGCTTTATTCACAGTGACAGTCCCTAAGGAGTTGTACATAGTAGACCACGGCAGCAATGTGACCCTGGAGTGTGATTTTGACACTGGAGGTCACGTGAAACCTGAAGCAATAAAAGCCACCTTGCAAAAGGTAGAAAATGATACAGCCTTGCCTGCTGAAAGAGCCGCTTTGCTGGAGGAGCAGCTGCCCCTGGGGAAGGCCCTATTCCACATCCCTCAAGTCCAAGTGAGGGACGAAGGGCAGTACCGCTGCGTGATCATCTGTGGCGTCTCCTGGGACTACAAGTACCTGACTCTGAAAGTCAGAGGTGAGTGGTTTCCAGGCCTAGAATCCACAGAGGCATCTCTCCAACAGAGAACCTGCATTGGCTGCAGTAGCGGAAACTCACTAAAAGTCGCTCAAGCAAAAGCCGGGAGGATGGTTCTAAGGAGACAAACCTATTTCAGAGAAAACAAAAGTACCTTCTCAGAAAGATTTTTTGGCATCTGAGTATAAATCAGCTGAAGTAAAGGTCAATAGGGGTAGGAGTCAGAGGAATAAAATGGGGCTAGAGGAAGCCAGGAACATGAGCCCCTGAAAGGTCAGAAGTTTCTAAAGATAAGCTTTGCCTAGTTCACAGTTCTCCCAGGGAACATGTCTGACTTGATTACTAAGCTACTCTTTATCAGTAGTTTATTTCTCTAGTTCAGCGTTTTCTAAATTATGGTTTGTGACCCATTAATGGATTAAAATATCAGTCTAATGAGTGGCAACCAGATGGATGTTTTTTCCAAACAAACAAAAAAAAAATGAATACAATAAGAATAGATCAGAGGATATTACACAGTAGGGCTGAGTATTGTTTTGTAAAACTCTTGTTCCAGAGGGGAGTGTGTGTGAGTGTGTGCGCGCGCGTGTGCCCGTGCTTTGGGTCATGGTGTAAAATTTGATTTCTTACTCTGGTTCATAAAAAGTTAAAAGTTTGGGAAGCACTGCTCAAGACCAAGCCCTATCTCTAGCAGGTGAAGGAGTAGAGGTCCATGAGAGTGAAGCGGGCGGCCCGAGAGAGCCACTTAAGTCAATAGCTGTCCCACTCCTCTGGATTCAGGCCTCTCTCCACCCCAACACAAGCCAAGCACCTAAATCTGGAGAGAATCTTCACATTCTTATTTGTTTCTGGGAAAGGTCATATAATAACTGCAAAAGAATCGATTTAGCTTGTTCATTGGCTTATACTTTCCAAGCTTCATTGAATGTTCTGAGTTAAAATTATGCCAATATTTCTCTGGCCCCTCCCTATTCCATTCCTTAGGCCTAGGAAGGTCTGCACTGTCTTCTAGACAGCAGTGGTCCCCAGCCTTTGTGGCAACAGGGACCAGTTTCATGGAAGACAATTTTTCCATGGATGGCACAGGGGCGGGAGTTGTGACGGAGATCTGCCTAACAGGCCTGGGGGGTTGGGCACAGCAGTTCTGGAGGGTCTGTGGATTTTGGCCTGCAAAGACCATTAACCGTGGCAGCAATGGTGTGACTTTATGATCTGCTACAAGGAAGGGCAAACTAGAAGGATTAGACACAAGGGTGAATGTTGTTTTCATCTGGGTCCTTGGGCAGGTTATTTCACCTTTCATAACCTCACATTTTTTATTTGTAAAAGGAGGGCAATAGTATCAATAGTACTTACCACATAGGATTGTTGTAAAAGTTAAGAGAGATAATGAACATAAAGAACTGAGGATGGTGACTGGCATATGGTAAATGTCCAGAGATCTGGCTAAAAGATCCTCAGTTGCTACAGGGACAGTGACCTCCTCATACCTCAACCATCAATGAGTCACCAGGAAAGCCATTAGCCTCAATGCAACTGTTTTCTATCTCCCCACTGCATTTCCTACATCCAAGCATCAGCTGGGAGAAACTCGAGAACGATGAAGTTAGTCTGAGTTCAATTCACGTAAGGAAAGAAGGCTGTATGTTCTCAGGATCCCCTAATGAACTCATGTAGCTGCGCCCCTAAATCACCACCCCTGTATTTATCCATCTCTCTCTCTGAATGCTGTACCGGGGGCTAGCCATCCCACTCTTTCGCTCAGCCTGAGGACTGCCTCTCATTCCTGGGAAGGCACCCTGCCCACTGCCTCACCCAGACCAGGGATTTCTCAGCTGGAAGGGATTTGCTCCTTAAAGTAATGGTCATCAAACTGGGATATATGGAAATCACAGAGACTTTTTTTTTTTTTTTTTTTTTTTGAGACAGAGTCTCCCTCTGTTGCCCCAGCTAGAGTGCCGTGGCATCAGCCTAGCTTACAGCAACCTCAAACTCAAGCGATCCTCCTGCCTCAGCCTCCCGAGTAGCTGGGACTACAGGCATGCGCCACCATGCCTGGCTAATTTTTTCTATATATTTTTAGTTGGCTAATTAATTTATTTCTATTTTTAGTAGAGACAGGGTCTCGCACTTGTTCAGGCTGGTTTTGAACTCCTGACCTTGAGCGATCCACTCACCTCAGCCTCCCAGAGTGCTAGGATTACAGACATGAGCCACCGCACCTGGCCCACAAAGACTTTCTAAGGCAGGGGTCCCCAACCTAGGGTGAGTAAAATTATCTCATTATATATTATAGTTTAATAATAATAGAAATAAAGTGCACAACAAATGTAATGCTCTTGAATCATCCTGAAACCATCCCCCTCTCCCCCATCCATGGAAAAATTCCATGAAAATGGTCCCTAGTGCCAAAAAGGTTGGGGACCACTGTCTAAGGCATGTCTGGGTACAGGCACTTTTAGGAAATGAATTTCTAGATCCTCATCTTCCCCAAGTACCCCTTGGGGAACTGGTGAGCCTGAGAATGTGCTTGCTGGGCCAGGCTCTTGGAGTTCCCCTAATATACTTCCTCTTTTACCATTGCTTTCTCCTGCTTTATAAAAAGCCTGCTTCTCACTGACCATGAATGTAGTCAGTTGCCCCAGGGTGCAAAAACCTCCACAGTGCTAAACAAAAGAGTGATCAGAATCATTGATACCTTATGGAACTGTCATGACTAACAAATCTTTTTGCAAATATGAAGGATTAAATTTTCTGCTTTCAACAAAATTGAAGGAGAACCCTAATAGAGTTAACAGCTGATAATCAAAAATGAGTGATTTTTGCCACATAAATCGCCATTCAAAGAATAAAATGACATTGCTATAACAAAACTGCTTCCACTCCCACTGACTTACTCATATGAACAAGCACTTCTATTTACAAAAAAAACAAACAAAAAAAAAATGAAAAACAGAAATAGAATTATGCTGAATTCTATCATTCCAACCATGTCATATGCATCCTCAGATTCATGAACAATTTGTAAAAGAGAGCCCTATTCATCTCATTAAGAGACACATGTTCAGGCCGGGCTCGGTGGCTCACACCTGTAATCCTAGCACTCTGGGAGGCCGAGGCAGGCGGATTGCTCAAGGTCAGGAGTTCGAAACCAGCCTGAGCAAGAGCGAGAGCCCGTCTCTACTATAAAATAGAAAGAAATTAATTGGCCAACTAATATATATATAGAAAAAATTAGCCGGGCATGGTGGCGCATGCCTGTAGTCCCAGCTACTCGGGAGGCTGAGGCAGCAGGATCGCTTGAGCCCAGGAGTTTGAGGTTGCTGTGAGCTAGGCTGACGCCATGGCACTCACTCTAGCCTGGGCAACAAAGTGAGACTCTGTCTCAGAAAAAAAAAAGAGACACATGTTCAGTAAATTTTTATCTTTTATGTTTAATAATTATCACTGTTCATAAATTTTACATTTTGATCAAATATTTGCTGTTAATGGAAATTAGATCTCAATGTGGAAGAAAACTTTGAATACTTAAAACCTCATAGTCACAAGAAAAAAATTAATTTCAATAGTTATAAATATTTTATTGTTGTAAAGACACAGAAGGACAATGAAGAAAGGAGCTGCCAAAAAAAATTATGTTGCATTATGATAAAATTCTGTAGGGAAATTGAAAATGGAAGTGAGGTTCAAGGAATAAAAAACAAAACAATGTAAAACTCTGACCATTAAACCAGAATTTTCACATGTAATTTTTAATGGATAATGGTGTGTATAAAAAAAACACCTTTTTTGAAACTCAGTTATCTTTAAGATTTATAAAAGATACCTTCTTTGATATTTAGGTGCCAATGGATACATAATGTAAGAATGAAATAATTGTTTCACTAAAAAATATAAATACTTATAGGATGCTAAACATTATCTATTTTTCCAATGTAGAAACTTATGAAGAATTCTAAGAATCAAGTTAATATATGTGACACTCTGGGAGACTGAGGGGGGAAGATAGCTTGAAGCTCAGCTCAGGAGTCCAAGACCAGCCTGAGCAAGAGCAAGACCCTGTCTCTACTGAAAATAGAAAAACTTAGCCAGGCATGGTTGTGTGTGCCTATAGTCCCAGCTACTTAGGAGGCTGAGGCAGGAGGATCACTTGAGCACAGGAATTTGAGGCTGCTGTGTGCTATTATGATGCCACGGCACTTGCTTGGGCAACAGAGTGAAACTTTGTCTCAAAAAAAAAAAGAAAACTTGGTATGTGAGAAGGCGCATACTGCCTCATAATTCTGTTAGAAGGGATACAAGAAAAAAAGTTGAAGACCACCATCTAAGAGTAACCTACCCTGATCTGGAGTCTCTAAAGAAAGCAGGATAGATTTGGGGCCCCAGTGAAGGTCCCCATAAATGGAGTAGGATTAGAGGAAGGACATGCTTTTATCTTAAAATGTCTGATCTGTGGCATAAACCTTGAAAATACAGTAGCTTCTTTGATGTCTGGGCAGCAATTTGTATTAAATAGAGTGAAAAGAAAGTTGATTTCAAAAATGCAGAGAAAATACTAGGTGGAATGGCTAGAGAGTCTGGAAGAGACAGTAATAAAGGGCCGTGGTTTCTAAAAAGCCAGGTTGCAGCTCCGGGACGGGAGCGGTTCGACTGGGGAAGGGCAGGGAGCGTGAAAAACAGAGATCCGGAGAGCTCAGGCCCACCCAGCAGGGGCGGGGAACCTGTGGCCTTCTGATTTCAAGATTGTTCTATTTTAAGCACCAAAGGAGGCAAGAAAAGGTTCATTTTTCTCTGATGCACCCCTTTTAATATAAGCATTTGTTCTGTAAAATTTGGACTCAGTTAAAAGGCCGCACTTACAGATCTAGAAGGCCACATGTGGCCTTAAGACCGCAGGCTCCCCACCCCTGGAAGGGTCTTGCAGAGGAGCTGGGGTTGAGAACTGGTCTGTGCAAAGGATTCCAGACAGGGTCACAGAGCAAACCCTAAGAAGAAGAACA